AATGTATGAAGATTGTTTTTCGCTTGAAAAATCATTGCAGTTAATTCTTTAGTTTTTACCATTTTTTTTAGATTTTCGGAGAAGAAAAATTTATTAAAAAAAAAATAAATTTTTATTCTTTTTATAAATAACACTTAAGTGTCATGTAAACGCAAATTGTTATTGTGGTCATATGACTTTACTAGCATTAATTCACGTTATGGAGGGTGTGCGGATACTTTTGTCCACCCTCTGTACAATAAGTCAACGTTCAAACTTTTAAATAAATTATGTTGCGAATTTGGAGAATTCAGATCTTGTTTTAACATCTATTTCATGTGATTTTGATTTGAACTCAAAAGTTATTTCATAATTTCATATTGTTGAAATCAAATTATCAAAACTAATGATGACATTTAAATGTATTATAAAACAATAAAATATAAAATTTAGTTTACCAGCAAATTTAAGTCTAGATTTTAATACTAAAATACATAACCAACAGTATAAACACATCTTAAAATATGCTTTTTTTCACATTTCATTCTCATAAACATGATGCTAATTGCTAAAATGTATCAAGGTGCTAGGGTAGTTGTTTGATTATCGATTTTTAAATATGAAGGGGTATAACTTAAGGAATCGGGTAAATTAGGTAGGCTTTTTATTTGAGTTTCAGAACAGTTAAGGTAAGATAAAGAGTTAGGTAATGTAGGTAAGCTTGTTATTTGGGTTAAAGAGCAATAGAGTATCTTTAAGGAGGTAGGTAACGTTGGTAAGCTTGTTATTTGAGTTAATGAGCAATAGAGTTTCGTTAAGGAGTCAGGTAATGTTGGTAAGCTTGTTATTTGTGTTTTATAGCAATAGAGTTCCGTTAAGAAGCTAGGTAATGTTGGTAAGCTTGTTATTCTAGTGTAACTACAGTCAAGATAAGATAAAGAGTTAGGTAATGTAGGTAAGCTTGTTAATAGAGTTTTGTTAAGGAGTTAGGTAATGTTGGTAAGCTTGTAATTCTAGTATTACTGCAAGAGAGATCCGTTAAGGAGTCGGGTAATGTTGGTAAGATGGTTATCTGAGTTTGAAAACAACGGAGTATCGTTAAGGAGTTGGGTAACGTTGGTAAGCTTGTAATTTTAGTTTTATAGCAATGGAGTTCCGTTAAGGAGTTAGGTAATGTTGGTAAGCTTGTTATTTGAGAATTGTTACAATAGAGTTTTGTCAATTTCCGATATCTTTGCAAACCGCCAAAGGTGTTCAATATGTCATCCTTATTAGTATTTGTAATGGTCATACTTTCAATAGTATCATCATAAATAATTAATTCAAGACTTCTGATTCTCTTTTCTAATTCATTAATTGCTTGTTCTCTAACCTTTTCTTCTAAATTATTAATATTGGCTTTGGTTTCTTCACGTTCTCTAGCCCATTTTTCTAAATTATTAATATTGGCTTTGGTTTCTTCTTCTCGTTCTCTAACCCTTTCTTCTAAATTATTAATATTGGCTTTGGTTTCTTCACGTTCTCTACCCATTTCTTCTAAATTATTAATAATTTCTTGCTTGGCATCTGCTTCTTTTCTAACCTTTTCTTCTAAATTATTAATATTGGCTTTAGTTTCTTCATCTCGTTCTCTAACTTTTTCTTCCAAATTTTTAATATTGGCCATTGTTACTTCTACTCTTTCTCCAACCTTTTCTTCTAAATATTTGACTTGTGAACGTAACCCTTCGTTACTTTGCTCTAATTCCTTAATTCTCGTTTCCAAGTCTTTTAAGGATTTTTCTACATTGATTTTTAAAACCATTTTTTGTATTTTTTTTTATTTTTTTGTTCGGATGATATTGGATATTTCAATCGAGTATAATGCAAATTAATAATAGAAAACTCAGCCCTCGGTTTATAATTTTTTCCAACTGTAATTATTCCATAAATAGTCTAGTTTGCTCGGATAACTTAAAAAGGAACTAACCGACCGCTTCTTGTCTTACCAAATAAAGTTTACAACTTTCTGAATTTGGTTATAATCCAAAATCAAATTGAGTTTAGATTAGCAATTCGCGACGAAAATTTTCTCAAAGAACGAAAGAAAATGATGAACTAATACAATGGAGGGAATTAACGAAATAAAGCTAATTATTACTATATGTAAACATAAAAACTTTATATTATTTCATGACGAGAAGCATTGATAATTTTTTTTTTGACGAATGATTATTTTTCTATACAATGACGTGTAAGAAAGAGTAAATTTATTGAATAATTGGAATTGAACTTTAATAAAAGCTACACAGAATTTACTGCGTCATATTTGTAATAACTTTTGATTAACTCTATTACGTTTTTTAAATTGTCACTCTTAATAACAAAAATAAAAAAATTATATGCCTCTTAAATCATCGGGAAAACCATCGTGTATCTCCGAGAATATTTAATAAAAGAGATAAAATGAAGACACGGCGTGAAAAAAAAAATTTTTTTGATCATGTAAGGTGAACCTTTGGGCGATACTGGATTATTAGACTCGTCGCTTGGCTCACACTTCATTCGGTATTCTCGTCCAAAAGTTTTTCCAAATTACAGTATCCGTCACATTTAATATTTTTTTAATGTTTTCAAAAGATTATTCCCATTGTTTTTTCCCTTGAATCATAACATTTCAGTTTTCACAAACTGGGCCTAAGAAAGTTATTTTAAGTAAAATGCCGTTTTTTGCATTCGTTAGGCCATAAATAAAGTGACCAGTGCGCGACTGCTAAGGATGTATAGTCAGTATTGTTCCTATTGTTGCCGAGGCCCGTGAATCAGTCTAGGTTATATTTGTCTTAGGCATTTATTTCTAATGTTTAAATTCGAAATGACAATCGCTGTCAAGTTGAACATAATGTCCAATAAATTTATTGAGGAAGCTTATATGTATGTAGTGTTTGGTATTTTTTTTTTCTTTGCCATTAAGCAATATTCTTTATACAATGCCTTAAAGTAGTGCTGACATGACCAAACGTCTACCATAAAATTTTATTTTTATATCTTTAGAACATGGAGGAGTTTCGTTAAAGGAAAGTTATTGAAATGTATGAATAGATAAAAAGAAATAATAAAATAAAAATAAAAATAAATTATTCGAGAAAATTATTATTAAAAAAATTTTTTTTTTGAAAGGCATTTGCTGCAATTGCAATAGCTGCCAGAAGGTTTTAACGAAAGATTTAACGATCATGCATGACGACCATTTTAATACCACTAAACTTAACATATTCCATTAAATTTTTAATTCCGCTTTATTTTATTTAATTGAATAATTTATAGTTGAACGCAAAACCTTAATAATTGACGGATCTTATTGAAAATAATATATTTAAAAGGTGCTGAAATTTTATTCATAAGAAATTATGCAGACTATTTGTTCTTGATAATACGTTGATTGATTGTAAATGGACGTCGTAAGAACTAATTCTTGTGTTACTTGATATAAGAACATTTAAAGAATAAAGGTACGACTCAAATTTTTAACTATTGATATTCGATTATTCAATTTTCATTTTATTTATTCCGAATTTTTTTCATTATTAGTTATGTTTCATCACCTGGGAGTTCATTAAAAGCTGAAGAAATTTATAATTACAACAGATCAGTTGCTGGATTTTATAAATTCACCACAAAAAAAATCAAATTAAATGTATATATCACACATGATAACCGAATACGCCCGCTATGTTAACTGGATTTGTAGTGCCTCAACTATTTTGTTTTATTTTTTTTTTTTTTTTATGTAACCTTGAAATATTATCGGTCCGGAACAAAAAAAAAAAAAAAATAAAATTAAGGATCAGAACGATTCATAACCAATCTTAGGGCTGGTCTTATGGACGGGTTACAAAAACAATATATATTATTATTGACAATTGATATTTACATTTATTACCTAAAAATCATAATTAAAGAAAATGGCACTATAGACTTGTCTGGAAGCAAATATCTTAAAATTTCGTTGGCATTTGAAGTTGTCGATATGCCATTGGAGCAGGATATCGCCTCACGCTTTCTTTTATAATAGCATTTAGATAATGAAAATCCTAAATATTAACGAATTGACAGCGAACATAACGAAAGGTCTTTGTAAATTAATTTAATTACCTTAAATTGATCCACTGTTGTATTCTGATTTCATCACCTATTACACTTATAATTATCCTAGTTTTCTTTTGCATTTCCTATTGATGACAAAAATTGCGTTTAGGAAATTGTAAAGTAGTGTATTTATAATATTAAAATCTCTTACCAGATATCTTGCAAGATGATAAATAGAAGAACTTATGGGCATCGATGAGCTATATAAATAAAGAATATTATTAACGTTAACGGAACTAAGGTTATTAAAAAATCGTTAAATATTCCCTTACTGTCATTTCATGCGCTAAAAAAGTTTATCACATTATCACTTAAATTTTCCTTCCGATATATATACACTAATCTCCAGCATGCTTATCAATAATATTTCATTATTGGATGTTTTCTTTTCCATTTAATTTTTTACGTATAGCTAATTCGAATCTTTTAATATCAATGATTTCATATATAAATTATCAAAGACTTTTAATGTTTCATGGAGCATTCTATTCCTTTTATTCATTTTGTAATTTATTTAGAAAGAAAATATATATAATGAATATGATTCAAAATGATTCATGATATATTTAGCAATTCTTTCGATTTTAAGGTCTTCAAAAGTAAAAAGAAAATTTAACAAGGTTGATTTTTGATTTAACAAGTATTTGATAAGTATACTTACTACGAACGAATATCTGTCCTAATACTATATCTGTTGTAGCAATTCACAAATGTCGATTTGCTCATGAATTTCGCTGTCATAAATTTAAACGCTTCCAAAACAACTTCAACAATGACATTAGGAGTCAATGAAAGATTAATTACTGGTTCGATAATTTCCTGTGAGCGTGCCATTTCTATTTACTTTACATTCACGAAACAACCAAAGTAACGTAATTGTAAAGCAAGTAAAAGGTAATATTTAAAAATCTAACGTTATTTTAAATTAATTCTAATTTAAAAAAAAATTTAATAAAGTTATTATTAATTTACAGCAAAAGGCAAAAAAAAAAAAACTACTTTACATTTATTTATCAAGGTTTTTTTTTTAAAAAAAAAAAAAAATAACAAAGTACTATTTTCATATTGTCTTTATTATTCTAGTAATATACAAAGTTAATTAACAATCACGTGAAAGTTTCGCAAATATTTCATTGCTATTTTAAGTATTTTACTGTTGTTAATAACGAAACAAATTCAATTTTATGACATCCTATAAATGATTCCTATTTCTTGCACAAAATGTCTTATGTTTCCGTTCATTTGAGTGTATTATGACAGTAAATTTAATAGATAAATCTGAAGCAAAAAAAAATGTTAAATATAAAATTCTGAAATATCCAAGAATTAACTTTATTTAAATTTTTGAGTTTACAGAAGGTTTTCTTCTAATGTCAATATTAATTATTTTTAATCTTTTTATTTTTTTAAGGTCTTTCAGTATATCACGTTCATATGGTGTGTTCAGGACCTTTTTAGCGGTATTTTTAGAAATAAAGGTTTGATGAATTGAAAAGGTTATGCGTTATTATTCATTCAGTAAAAAACCATGATGGTGGAAATACCATAAAAGTAATAATTAAAGCGAGGTAAGCTATATATTGTAAGTTGTCCTTTTTATGAATTACTTAATTGACAATCAGGAAAGGAAGAAATTAAAGAATGCTTATTTCTTGAAAGTTTAGGAAACTAGCAATTTTTTAGCTTAACTTTAACTTCGGGTATGAAAGTAGTTTGGATGATGAATAAACTACATTAGATAGTATATTTTCATAAATTTCATATTATTTCATTGCACGAGATTTGGATTTGAATTTAGATAAACTATCAGCAACTTAATATCAGGAAATAGAAGGCAGTGTTATAGTGAATATTTCGTATATTACTCTGAATCTTGTATGCACTCTCACTTAATAAAGATTATTTATAAAAAACAATGTTTTATGCATTTATTTAACAATTTAAAATATTAACGTTAATAATATTGTAGATAAATTATAAGGTTTATTGTGAATATAAGTAATAATGTCACGGGCTTTGAATATCAATGACTCTGTGAATAATTGTTTTCTATTATACCATATATTACATAATAATAATATAAATTGAAATATAAACTATTTGAATTACCGATTAAAACTTCTACTCTTTAAGTATTTCTGGATAAATAATTTAATTTTAATATTGTAATAAATTACCCAGTTATTATTAATAAACGTTAATTAATTTACCTTCAGGAATTTCTAAATCATCTTGATCTTCTGAATGAAGATTCGAATTATTATACATTTCTTCATCATCTAATAAGGTTGAAATATTAAATTATAAGTTAAGTTTAGCAATAAATTAATTAAATTTATCTATTTCTTACCATTGCTTAACTTATAACATTTTTGCACATAATGATTTTCAATTTCATCATCATTACTAATATAATTAATTCCTAAAATAAATTATAGTTATTAAAATATAGAATTAAAAACTTTGTCAATTTACAAAAAATTATCTTTGACATTATTAAGTCTTATTTTGTTAGATTTTATTTTTAAATTTTCTAATTAAAGTAATAAAATTATAATCATAAATATAATCGTTATTATATAAAATAATAAAATGACTCAATACCATTATTATTATATAATTTATTTCTTTTTGATTTGCAAATATCAATATCTGTTAATATTGATTATAAATATTTAAATATAAATTGAATTAAAACAAAATATTATAAATATTAATACTTACCAACAATTTTTGTAGAAATATTTAGTTCAGTATAATCTTTAGATATTTCTTAGATTTTTTTTAAGGTAATCAAATTAATTTATAAATTTTTTATTAATTACATATAAACCAATATTACTTACTATCTGGAATATTAAGATTCATTTGCTT